GATGTATAATTCCCTTAGCAGTATGAAATGTCCTCCTTCATCCCTTCTGATTAACTTTGGCCTGAAATTCACTTTACTTTATCTTATATGGAGATGGAAACCCCTGCTTGTTTATGAGATCCATGTGAATGATATGGTTTTTTCTATCCTTTTACCTTCAGTCTATGGATGTCTTTGCCTTTGAGGTGAGTCTCTTGGAGGAGCATCTTGTTGGGTCTTGTTTTTTAATAGAGTCTGCCAATCAGTGTCTTTTATTGGTGAGTTTAGGCCATTTATAATCAATATTATTATTGAGAAATGATTTTTATTCCATCTTTTTATTTATTTCATGTTTTTAATTTGAATTTGATTGACTAGTTTTTTTAATGTAATTCCTCCCTTTGCTGGTTTTCAGTTTTATTTTTCATTTCTTCTTTATGAAATATTTTATTAAGTATGTTCTTGTGTACAGGCATTCTAGTTGTGAATTATTTTAACTTTTGTTGATGTGGAAGATTTTTTTATATTTCATCATCAATTCTTAAGCTCTATTTTGCTGGGCATAGTATTCTTGGTTGACATCCATTTTCTTTCAGAGCTTGGTATATATTTTTCCAAGACCACCTAGCTTCAAGAGTTTGGGTTGAAAAATTATCTGAGATCTGAATTAGTTTCCCTCTAAATGTGACCTGGCAGCCTTTAAAATTCTCTTAATTCTGTATGTTAGTCGTTTTTATAATAATGTGCCTTAGTGTGGGTCTGTTGAAATTTTGTATATTTGAGGTTCTATTAACATCCTGTATTTGATTTTACATTTCATTCTTATGCTTTGTGGAATTTTTGGCATTATTTCATTCCTGTGCATTCCTTTAGTTTATATTTTTGAGTTTTCAGCTATTCTGATAAATCTTATATTTAGTCTTTTCATGTTATCCCATATTCCTTGGAAGTTCTGCTCATTGTCTTTTTAACATCTTTTCTCCATGGTCAATTTTATTTTCAAGATTATATATTTTGGCTTCATTGTCTGAAACTCTGTCTTGCAAGTGGTCTAGTCTACTAGGGATGCTTTTCATTGAATTTTTATTTGGTTTTTTGATTCCTTCCTTTTGAGGATTTCTGCTTGTTTTTTTTTTTTCAGAATATCTATCTCTGATTTTACTCCTACATTGTTTTTTACCTCACAAATTAATTCAACTATGAACATTATAAACTACTCTGACATTTCTTTTACTGTGGTGTCAAAAGATTATATTATTGAAGCATTTTGGGTTGAGGCAATTTGTTCCCTTCCTTTTTCATGTTGTTTGTGTGTCTACCCATCCAACCGTATGTATCTAAGGAGGTAGACTTTCTACCCTGTGGACTTATAGTATCCCTGAAGGTTTCTAATATCTCACTATTTAGGGGGAGACAAATAACAACAACAATCAATGCAAACAATATACAGTGTTAAACGAAGTACTTCATGCTGTGACATCTACAGTGTTAATTGTCACAATAAACAGAAATGATGTGATCAGTTATTGCCTGCAGGAATAAACAATAAGTTTGCAAAAGGGTTTATAATTTTGAAAGGTGAACAGAGAAAGAACAGAATTGATGTAGGGAGGAGGGGAGAAAATAAAAGTAAAAAAAATAAAGGAAGAGTGAAAGAGAAGACAATAGAGATTGGCTGTTAGCAGAAGCAAAGAGAATCAAGGGACACAGATAAGTGAGAGAAAAAATATATAAAATAAAAATTAAATAAAATACTAAACAAAACCAAAATACACTAATCAAACATCCCAATCCTTAGAATACTGATCCATGAAAAATAACTGCCTTCAAAACATGATAGAAATGCAAAAAAAGTAACAAGTATGAATATGTATAATTGTCCATGAACCATTCAGGTCACAATTAAACAGATAAAAGAAAGAAGAAAACATATAAATTTTTTTAAAAAAACTCAATGCAAAGCTAAAAAGAGGATGTAAGGGGCTCCCTGCTTTAGGCCCAAAGTGGAGAAAATGAGGGAAGGTTCAAAGAAGCCAGAGAGCACCATCAGGAGGCTAGACATTAGCACACCTTCAATAGCTTTCAGGCCGTTAATGCGTGAAATACCTACTGGGACATATCTTGGTGGATTTTCATCGGCTGAAATAGAGCTCAGAGAAAGAGGATTAAAATACTCCACGTTTTAGCTTTCCATCACAGTGATAATCAACTTGAAAAAAAGGAGAGATTTATTTTTGCTCACARTTTCAGAGGTTTCAGTCCATGGTAAGTTGGTTCCGTTGCTTTGGGGCCTGTGATGAGACAGCACACCATGGCAGAAGCTTATGGCATAGCAAAGCGTTTTACCTCATGGTAGATGGGAAGTGAAAAAGACAGGAAGAGGAGGGACTAGAGCTCAAACATCCCCTTCAAGGGCTCACTCCCAATGATTAATTTCCTTCTCCTGGGCTCCACCTTCTAAAGGGGACATCACTTCCAGTAATGCCACCATCTAGCCACCAAGCCTTTAACACATGRACCTTTAGGGGACACTTTTCCAAACCATAGTACCAGGTAACCACTCTACCTTCAAGATCCAGACTGTCCAGTATAGTAGTAGCCCCTTGTCCTCTTGGATGGGTAAGCACATGAAATGTGGTTCATTCACATTGAAATATGTGCTGTAGGTATAAAATATGCACCAGAATTTCAAGATTTAGTACAAAAAAAGAATATCTTAATAACTTTTTATATTTAATACATGTTACCATTATAACATTTTGGATATATTTGGTGAAATAAAGTATATTATTAAAGTTTATTTCTTTTTATTTGTTTGAATGTAACTACTAGAACATTTAAAACAACATTACAGTACTCACACCATATTTTTCTCGAACCTAGACTGTCCACGAGCTAATGGAAGAGCCCGTTGTTTTACAGAGTTCTTTTCATGGCTCCCATGTCTGGGCCCCAGGGCTGTGGGCCTCGGGTATGMTTTGAAGTTTTGTGGATGCCCAGCCTCCCTCAGACTAACTGGAATCGTGCCCTTAGCCTCCCTCAGACTAGCTAGAATCGTGCCCTTTCCAGATTATCAGCCATAATGACTTCCCGCCTCATTCTCAGTGTCCTYTTTGCTCCTAGGTGGACCCTTTCAGATCTGGCACACCGTGAGGCTGATTGAGCACAAAACTCTAGTGCTCAGCTGCAGCTGGCTTTTGTGGGCACAAGGGTGTTGCTAAGTGTAAAATGTCAGATGGCAATAACTCATGTGGACTCCACTTCCTTTCAGCCAGGTTAGCCCTGGGGCAGCTAATCACATCTGAGCAGGAGCAGCCTTCTGTTCCTCAGTGCAGACTGTCCCGTCCAGTCTATAACATCTGCTCAGCGTGCTCCCAACACTGTCTTAGTTATCACCATTATGGTACTTAGCATATCATACATATGTGGCACCAAGTGGAAAAGGTTCAAGAAGGACATGGTGAAGTATTTTGCTGTTAGAGAAGTCGGAATCTAAGTGGCCTTCATAGCACATAGTTTTTCAGATGGATTTCAGAAAAGGTGGTTTTGCAGTTGTTTTCCTTAGTGACAACTTGTATCATCCTTCCAGACTTCTTTTTTAAATGACTCACCTTTTGTACTGTGTTGAGCCTTGCTTTTTTTCCCTTCTTTTCTGAGCTTTGTTGAGGTATGATTGACAAGTAAAAATTGTATATATTTAAAGTATACAGTATTTTATACACACACACACACACACACACACACACATGCATATTGTAGAACAGGTACTACATTCAAGCTAGTTAACATCTGTCACCTCGCATAGTTAGGAATTTTTAGTGTGTGGTGAAAACACTGAAGATCTAACTATTACAGATTTTTAGCGTACCACACAGCATTATTGACTATGCCACCATCCTGAACTGGTCACACTCTTTGACTAGCATCACCTCTTTTCCCGCACCCCATCTCCTGATAACCACCATTCTGTTCCCTGTTACTATGAGTTTAACCTTTTTAAAATTGAGATCATACAGTATTTGTCTTTTTGTGTCAGGTTTATTTCCCTTACCATGATAAAAGATTCATCCATGTTATTAGTGATATTTTTAAGACTTAATAATATTTCATTGTATATATGTGAAAGAAACATTTTTTTTATCTATACATCTCTTGATGGACCTTTAGGTTGTTTCCATGTCTTGGCTGTTGTGTGTATAGTGCTGCAATGAACATAGGTATGCAAGTATCTCTGACATTCTTATTTCCTTTCCTTTGTGTATGTATCCAGTAATGAGATTGCTRGATCATATGGTAGTTCTATTACTAATTTTTGAGGAATCTCTACAATGTTTTAGTTATTGTACCACTCGTTGCTGGCCACATAGTCAGGATTTCAGGATCCCCAGGCCTTGATGGGATAGTATTTGATCATAAGAATGTGTATTCTAAAGCAAGCTTTCATTATAGCTGAAAATCACAAATAATAATTTTTTTTAAAAAAAAGGTGAGAAAAGAAAAGACATCCTCTATAGCATCAGCCAAGGACATTACTGCTGGTTAAAAAACTCTCCATGTATCATTAATTCTATTCCACTGTGAACAACAGGAAGGGGTCATCAAAATATTAAGCAACTTGGGCTGGGGCTGTAGCTCAGTGGCAAAGCGCTTGCCTAGCATGTGCAAGGCACTGGGTTCGATCCTTAGTGCCATATACAAATAAAATAAATAAAGGCATTCTGTCCATTTACAACTACAAAAATATTTTTTAAAAAATTGAAYAACTCACATTTTCCCATATGTTTGAGTAATGATCATACATATTTCTTAAAAACAACCTTTTAACAATAGATTTTTATTTTCCAGTGAAAACAAGATTGTTGCAGTGTCTAAAAATGAATTTTATACTCTTGTGGATTTGCTCTCTAAACAAATTTATTTCTAGGCTGAGGATTTTTAATCCTCAAAAAACACACTAGTTAAACATAGCACTAATTTTATTTCTTCTTCCCTTTTTCTTTTCTCCTTTGTTTCTCTTACAGATTCCTATGACCCAAGCAGAGTGGAGAGGGTGTGATGAATTTCTAGTGAAGCCTGGGACCACCTTAGTTTGCTGGTTGATTATTCCCTGATTGAGTCCATCCACCCATCTTGCCCAAGCAGAAGCTAGCAGCTCTGGTCTTTAGTGTACTGATTTCTCCTTCACCACTGTCAGTAGGAAATCTGTCATTCATACAGAATTGCTGTGAATATAAAGCAATAGTCTGTTGAAACCATCTGTWTTTATAAYATGAAGATTTAATGCCTACATGTAGAAAAGAGTTTTCACATGCAATCTCCTTCCTGATGAATTTGGCTAAGCTGATAAATAGTCTGGTGTTAATTTGGTTCCATGTGAAAATGTAGACATGGAAGATATAATGAATGATTTTGAAAGGACCATGAATGTCATTTCCCCTCTGAATCTCCTCAGCCTGCAGTCCACACTCATGCTAAGGGGTTTGGGGTATAGGCTTTTGCCCAGTGTTTGGGCGCTTCCAGTAGCAGGCAAATGTGAATGAATATATATGATCCATTTCTAATCAATTTGGTCTTCTGCTGCTGGAAGTAACTTTACTTGTAAGTAACTTGCCATCAGAGGATAAAAGCAATATCTTTAAAGTTTCTAAAAGAGAACATTTGTACTGTAATATACTAAGAGCATTATTTATCTGGCAATGAAATACTTTCGTTGTTTGCAAACATGCCATGGTCTGCTTTGCACTCAGTATTATCTATTTTTATTTTAGGTATGGATGTTTAGAAATTCTTTATATGAAAAATAATTGCTGGTTTAAAATAGAAAATTTTAACAAAGTAACTATATTTCTTTTTACAAAATTGCTATTTTTCTATGATGTAAACAGTTGTTAGGCAGCAGATTTTTAAGGAAGTATTATTTTATTTAAGAGTCTATCCCTTTGTGTGAGAGGAACCCAGAGAGGGTCTGCTCTTGCTTTAAAACATATGTCCCTGACCCATTCTTATCTATTGCTACTGTTTTATTTTAGGAAATGTCAATATAAACATATCACAGGGTTAATAAACTTTCACAAAATTTTCTTTTGCAAATGTAGCTATAAGGTTATATTTGAAAATATCCCTCTACTTCAAACCAGCCTACATCTTTGCAACAATTTTTACTGCCATATCAATTAAAATTACCAAAAAAACATATTTCATCTTTTTATGTCTATGGGGATCTGCCCTGATGCCATACCTTCCTCCTCTTCCCCTCCCGTCTCTTTAAAGAAATGTGTATTTTTATTTAGAATGATTCTGAATTAGCCTCACATATTTTTAAAAAGTGCTTAGAGATATTACAAAAGAATTATAAGGCCTATGTATTCTACTGTGTTTAATATTGCATTAACCTGCACAAAATATATGCATTTTATGCATTTTTTCCTTCTCAATGAGGTATTCTTGTTAGCTAATATTTTCTATATGGTTTCATATCTTTTCCCTTCTTTCCTTTTTCCCCTTCTCCCCTTATTTCCCCTTTTATGGTTTTTCTTTCTCTCTCTATTATTTTTTGTTGTTGTTGAGAAACCACCTCATCTATTTTTAGACATTTCAAATTCCTGAAATGTGAACCATTGGCTGGTCTGTCTATTGACCCTAAAGTGATGGACTGGGTTTTGTGGCCTGCTTGTATCTGTACCATATGATATTATTTCATAAGAACCTCATGTATTTGGACCATAGCAGGCAAAACAGAATCTAAGTCAATCTAAATACACTTACTTGCAGTCTTGGTTCCTACCTAGAGTCATCTCTTTCCAGAGCGTGGTGCTATGAGAAGTTAGAGGAGACTCCAGTTTTTCACAGCAGCAATCAGACAGGCCCAGTCTCTTCCCAGGAAAAATCTGGTGGGAAAGAGATCCGGTCACTTTGTTATGACTGGTGAATCATTCAAGTCATCTGATAGAAAGAACTCAGTGAGGGCTGAGCCACTCGGAGATCTCTGTACTTCCCTAATTAAAAGCAAATGAAAGAAGGTACATGTACAAATACCTACGTGCACACACCAATGTAGGCATACGTACATATGCATTTATATACATAAGCTCTGTTCTAACTTCTTAAGTTTCATTGATACCAACCGAAACTTCTTTTAACAAAATAATTAAATTTTAGCTCATACCTCAATAGAAAAAAAAAAAAAAGAATCCTCAAGGGGAAAAAAAAAGTTGTACCTTATGTGTCTCAGTTCTTTTCTGTTTTTATTTTATTCTCAATTGCTGTAATTATAATTTTCTGGAACCATTCTGCATTTAGTGAAAATTATTACTATTTATGTTTTTAACCCTAATTTTTCTGGATTCAAGCCTTTGTAAATCTTTTGAGGGGGTGATTTTAAAGTTAGTAACTTGAAAATCTGACTTTTAAACTTTCATATTCTGAGGTAGATAACAGTTTCTAATCAAAAATAGATTTTCCAGAGGTTTTGAAATTAATACTAATTATACTTTCATTACTCCTACTTCTCATATATACATGCCTGTGGCTGGAAAAAAAGTGTTTGTTTTGTGTTTTTCATTGTTCTTCTCACACATGACTTTCTGTTGGTGTTTAATAATTTGGAACTGGTAAAGTTAAAAGTTCTAATTTTGACCATTTAAACTAAAAATTGTATAAAGAATTATGTATGAAATGTWTTTCTGGATTTGGAAAAGGAGAGAGAAATTATAGTAATTTAGTTCTGGCTGCCCTTCTTTGAAGAAAATTTATGAATGATTGCAAATCATTCTTTATTATCATTTTCAACCTTATGTTTTGCAAATCCCAGAGAACTCCTTTCTAAAGATGCAACCAGTTCCTGTTTGWCTCGTAAGAATTATTTCCATATCATTCATAACTACTTGGATATCTTTTTTCTTAAAGACCCTAAAACATGGATCTACTCTTTGATGCTCTGGTTTCCTTACTAGAATTGTACGTCTGTGTTTTGATTCAAGTGGAAATTCTAAGTAGGACTTTTTTCTTCCACTTGCCTGTTGGTACAGGGCTGTCATTCATGGAAGTTCAAATATTTAAACTCAAATGACTCTGAACCTAGATCCTGACCACTTTTCCCAGCCGCAGAATGACTTACTCTGAGCATCCTGGTTTGGGGCTTCTGAGGAAATCTGATGGAGCGGATCTGCAGTCGAGCCAACTACATCCCAGATCTGAGCAGAAGGGAACAATGGAAGATAGCATTAACCTACCGTTTCATCCTGCAGCTCCCCAAAGGTTGTGTTTGCGTGTTTGGGCTTTTTCATTACTCATTTAAAATGAGAAAATAATACACATTGTCAGGTTAACATCTCTTGCAAAGTAACCAGTGCAGCCGAATTCTCTGTCTCTAAATATCTGAACTTAGAGAAACACTTGCAATTTCCTAAATTCTTATCTACGATTACATTAATGTTTGGGAGCATTGTTCTGCCAGATCYGGCTGTGCAGGGGAGAACCAGGCCTAAGAGGAAGGGTAGGAATGGGAGTGTGTTTCTTAAACTAAAGCTGTTGCAGGCCTGGGAGATTCTTGCATTTTCTTTCTGTTTTGTTTTTGACTGCACATTCTTTACATCTGTTTATGGGAGGTGAATTGCTACTCAGGACAGAACTTAAGAGACACATTCCAAATGACCTTTAAGAGTCAGCATGGTGGGAGGTCCTTTCCTGGAGCAAGGGTTGGTCCACTCTGAGACCCACCAAGCTAAGAGGGGAGACAAAACATTCAAAGGAAGAGCAGCCCCAGCCTGCATGTTTTGTTGAAAACAAAGGAAGTGGTTAGAACTATAAATTCAGATAGAAGCCTCTTGAAAAGGTCCCTATATTCTAGCCACCTGCCTGTTAAAATAGTCCTTAAGTTCATTAGCAGGTGGGGCCATGGCCAAAGCTCCTGTGCATTCCTGGCCTTGACTTTTGAGAGCCCCTGTCACAACTATGTTTACTAACCCAGTAGAGGCCAGGGAGGTGCTCCTTCTGTGATCTCTGCCTACCGACAAGCTTAACCCAAAGGCAAGCCAGACTGCTGCCACTCATCCCCGTGCCATGACTGGGGGCRAAGAGGAAGCCTCTTCCACGTGGAAGCCAAGCCCTGCTGGGGCTGGCAGCTAAGCCAAAAGAGCAGCACCTACTTCTACCTCCCTGCACCCGAGCCCTGCGGCGAAGCCCAGATGTGTGACACTCTGTCATAGAGCAAGAAGGAGACAAAGGCAAGTTCAAGTTGGAAACAGAAGTTAGAAATGAAAACCAGTTGTCCAAACGAGGAGAAACCCATAGATTATAAAAATCATCAAAGGACTCTCCACCTGTGTCTGCCAAGAATCAAAGCCCTGGCACTCAGTATGCTAAGCAGAAGAGTCTCAAAATAGATTACATGAAGTAAGTAAATTAAATTAAAATAAAATTGGGAAGACAAGGCCCTGCAACCCCACAGAGACGTGTTTTTCCTTTCTTTGGGCACCTTTACTACCTAGGGCAGGTGGAGAGGGTGTTGGGAAGACAGACAATAACAGCCATTTACCAAGTGAGATCACCACCTCCATATAAGGCAGTACAGGAGACCTTGGGTGATGAAAGGTGAAGGACAGTGAGGAAAATGAGCACAGGGAAGGCAGGGCAGAGCAAAGTAGCAGATAAARTGCCATCAAAGCACAGATGAATGCCTGTACAGAGCTCTTGTATTTCTCGGCACAATGTAAATACCCTTATGTTTCAGGACGGCTGGCCTGGTCCATAACACATGTTCCAAATAAAGATTTTGCATGGAAATATCTATGTCTACTGTCTTTGGCTGTGGGGGCAAGAGCTGCCCAGGATGCCCTACAGACTGCTTCCCAGAGGGCAGCAGACTGCAGGGGCAGTAACAGGTGGCATGGGTAACAGGCCCACMGAATTCCAGCACTTTTGTTCTCCAACGAGTGTTTCTTGGGAGTTGAAGGTCCTGCTGCATCATATCTCCCAAAGCCTTTGCCAACATGGTGGRAAGAGGCCAGGCATCAGTTCAGGGATTCGGTACAAATTTTGACTCCACTGCTGACCACATGGCCTTGCCCATGTCACCTCTTGGCTTCCCATTCTTCAACTACCTCTCCCACTTGAACATGAGAAGCAAATATGTAGAAACCCCCTCCCCCAATCTTGTGGGTGTGCTAAGCATGGAGAACAAAGCTAGATCTTTGCCTTATGGGGAAAGTGCTTGTGTGGCATCTTGTAGGTTTTAAAACCCGGGGTCCGGCTTTCTCATAGGGAGCCTTGTTCCCAGCATGGCATTTCTGGAAGCATCATGCTCTTGGTTTGTTAATGCTAGAAGTCAGGCCAATAAATGAAGCTACTTTTTATGAGGTTTAAAAAATGGGGCCCTCCTTTCCAAGTTAAGCTTCCTCCCTCTCTCATTAGCTTTCGTAGGCTGTTTTTCTCATTTCTGCCTTGACTACGTGTGTGGGGCTCAAAGATTGATTGTTCCAGGACCTTGAAGGTCATCTGAAATTTCAGATCCTATGTAGTTGTGGGTTTTAAAGTAAAGACTATCTCCCAGTTGTTTGATAATTGAATCCACATATTAAGAACTGAAAAGAAAGAAAAAAAAAAAAAAAAAGATGTCCCTGGACCAAATCAATGCTGTAAGGTGAAACTTACAACCTAGGAATTGGGGGGCCTAGTTTTGGGCCTGGCTGTGCCATTAACTATTTGTCACCCCGGCCACCCACTCTGAGACACTTTACTCCATAAGAGGAAAAGGGGRTTGAACTTAATTTTCTGGTTCCTTCCAACTCTTAAGGTTATGTAACTTATTTTTTGGCAAACCTGAAATTCCATAGGGTCTTCTGCTCTGCCAGARGGTCCAAGAGTAAGACAATTTGTAAACTATGGCTGTGTGTGACTTAGGGCTGCGTCCTCACCAGGGTGGGAGTCCTGCCATCATGTCTTGCACCAGGGTGGTCTGCTCCCCCATTCCAATGACTTACCATGCTTCTCTTTCCCCTCACCATAGCTCTGGGCCAGCCAAGGGACTGACAATATACAAATTCTCTCAGCATAACTTTTCTCATGTTAGGGCAGGGCATGGGGTGTTTATGAGCCTGGCAGGTGGCCCAACACATTAATCAATAGTGGCCTATATAGACTGGTTTTCTCACAGTTTAGCTGTTCCAGGTCCTTATACTTAGGTTCAGAGTTGTTCGTGTGGTGCTAACTGAATCAGGCTTTCTGCTTCTACCCCACACACAGATCTCCCCCCAAGGTGGTCAGCCTACAGGACACAGGATGGCAATGCTGTCAGTCATCCCATTACTCAGGGTTGTTGGGGCTACGATGCCATGGGAAAGTGAGTGCTGGCTCTCATGCGTCCAGTGGGCCTCTGCTTCGGTTTTAGCTGGAGAGTCCACCTTTGAGGTTAGGGGAGGTTTGTTAATTTAGACTCCATTTGCTGTTTCTTTCTTTGACTGCCTCCCTCTATCCTGTACTTCTACTGCATTAATTGTGGGTATTTTTACATAGCTGGATCCCACCACTATATTCCTGAGGTTAAGATAGCAGATTAGCTTATGTAGAAATATCCCAAATGTGCATTTAAACCCAGGATTTCTCTTGAGTACTTAAAATAAAATGCCCAACATGAGGATGAGGGGAGGAAAAAAAAAAAAACAGTACTGTTGTTTCCTTACTGTGTACCAGATATGTTTTAGGTGTTAACTCATTTAGTGCAGACAACACTTTATAGTAGGAAATCCTTCCAAAAGGCAGAGTTGTGGCTTGTAGCACACAGCTAGTAGCAGAGCAGGGATTCAAAAGTATTTTATTAACTCTAAAGTTCATGCTGTTTATCTTATGCTTGTTGCATCCCAAGAGGATGAGAGAATGATTCTATTTAATCAAGAAATTCAAAGGTAACATGCTTATACTACTGAATTCATTTGTTAGGATCAGGTTCAGCTGCCTGTGCCATTAAATTGGAAACAACAATGGCTCTAACAAGATGGAAGAGTATTGCTCTCACTTCTCAAAGACGTCTGGACGCAGGTAGTTCAGGGCTAGCATGTCAGCTCCCTCGCCATTGGGGAGCCAGGCTCCTTGTGACTTTCTGTTTCTGCATCCCCTCAGAGCAGYTTCCATTCTGAAAGTAACCTCATGGTCCAAGATGGTGCCAGCTATCAAGGACTCCTTCTAGGAAGCT